AGACGAGGTCTTGAACAACATCCCTTGTCAACAACCCGTTTCCAAACCACAACGCCGCGTTCATTGCAAGCATCCCCACAGCATGGGTGGCGGCAGCCCAAGAAAGCATTAATATTGGGGGGGGGGGGGGCGACGGGAGGAACGAAGCGTTAGGCCTACATCGCGCGGTGACACGTGGCGGTAGTACTGGCTACAGGATGCAGATGCAGCGCGAGATCGAGTGATCCTATCGAAAAAAGCGGATGAGGGAGTCTGCACCAGCTTCATCCATATCGTCGGGAGTTCGCTTGTAGACGCCCAGATTCTGCAGCCACTGCGAACCGGATGTCTCAACCGGCGGCGAGCCGCTGTGGTTTCTGATCGAACACGTCGACTTACTGCCGGGGTGAGAAGATCTCGTGATTCCAGGTGGCAGGTTTGCCGCCCCCCGTAGCTCGGCCTTGATGACTCGAAGGTCGTCCAGGTTAGATCGGATCTCGTTCTGCAGCTGTAGTAGCGGCAGGGCAAAAGAAGCAGCAACAGAAACACGTGAGGCATCGGAATCGCGGCGTAGCAACGGGGGTAATCCGACGCTCAGCGTCGTTGTGGTTTCAGGGCGCACGGAAGGAGACCGGTGGAAATAGGAAAAATATGGATGATGGGAAGGGTGTGTGTGTGTGCAAGAAGTGAGCAGGAGACTGCCGTGAGCATGAGAGAATGTATGTAGACGCACATAGTCTCAGTGATACGCTGGTGGAGACAAAACCCCCACCGCTGCTCGGTGCGACAACGAATGGGTTGCTGTTGGTTTCGCAAATCTGTTCTAATTGGCCTCGTGTGTGATTGCTGGCACTCCCTCGGCTGTGTTCAAAAATTCGATCCAATAACCAAGATCGACTGGCATGAACACCTCGGATAAATCCGAGGATGAAAATCAAGAGGGATATTCGTTGTGTTACACGTCAGAACAACAAGCCAACAGCAGTTTTTATCCTCCAAACACACACAACCACAGCAACCTGGAGGAGATCGCTGCCTTGTGAAAGCTCGTTCATCCGCGCCCTTCCGCCTTGCACCAGCCCGGAGACCTTGCCGACACCGCGACCAGCCAAGCGGAACACCAGAGGCATGTCGCGCTTCCCTGCCCAAGACACGAGTAGTAGTGGTTTTCAGTGAGCACGAGGATAGCGGGGGTGACAGGGCGTATTTGGTAGTCTGACGACTCGCTGCGACTATTTACGAATGATGCTCTCAAAAGCGGAGATGTCGTAGACATAATGTAGATTGCACCCAAGGGGGTCTAGTCTACTACGCGAGCTATCACAGCAATACTGATATTTACATACCCAAGCGCACGCAATAGCGAGAGGCACCTCGGTATTCTACGAACAAGCTCCCCTTTATCTCTCGGGGCGTTCTCGGTTAAGTTGCACAGAGACGGTTGCACTTGGACAGGTCCTACGCCCGCTGATACAGCAGACACTCAGCAAAATACACAACACAGCAGCAGCAGCCAGCCTTACGTATCTACGCGCGATGAACGCAGTCGGCACCCATTGCCGCATCGCAGAATGGGAAACGATACGAGCACGGGCGTGTCTTGGAAAGCCGAGGTACAACACAACCCACAACAGCATGCGGAGAACACGGCTTGAGGGCGGACAATCTCCGGAGATCCACCAGACAGACCGAAGGTTAGGTAGGTGCATGGCTCACCGAGCAGAAGAATAGCAGCTCCACCGATGACCACCATCTCCGCCATGCCCACGTCGAACATGGTGCAACGTCCCGCCGTTCCCTACGGCACCCCTGAGCCAGCACTGCGCAGGACACTGAGGAAGAGACTCCACACAGCATAGGTGTGATCGTCTTGGCGCTCCGTGACTGCACGAGGGCATGAGGCAACCTACCAACAAGAGGGAGACACTATAAAAAAAACACGAAGAACCTAGCTGCGTTCCCCCCTCGCCGCTCCCGGCGCCGCGGCCTGCTCCATTCCACCGCCAGCACCATGAAGCGAGCTCACGGCGATATCTCCCCTGCAGCAGCCAATGGAGACCTGCCGAGCAATGCTTCAGAACCAGTCGTAGCCGAAAACGGCGGTGCGAAAAGCGAGGGGCAGGGCTTCGCAGCAGCAGCAGCAGCAGGACAATCTTCGGCAGCAGCAGCAGCCCCTGCTGCTGCTGCGGCGGCGGCGGCGGCAACAACGGCGGCGGTGGCAGGGGCGGCGGCCGCGGCACAGCAGAGGAAGAAGTGCCCCTACCTCGACACGATCAATCGCAATGTGCTTGACTTCGATTTCGAGAAGGTGTGGAACAACGCTACAGCATTGCTATGCTCTTGTTGTCCGGAAGGAGCAATTGCCCTCTCTCCTCCGCGACGTTAGATACTGGAGAGCCAGTACCGTTGGCGATCTGATGCTGTACTGCTACTGCTGTAGGATATGACGCTTTTCCGCGGGGTGAAATCGCACCTGTGATCTTAATTGGAAAACCCATTGGGGACATGATAACGCTGGCCTTGTTTCTTGTGCTATAGTACAGAATGCGGTGACCGTCTACACGGCAGCTGTAGCGTGCTTGCTGCTGCGCTGTTGTCCGCAGGTCTCGTTCTCTACACGACCACTGCTGCCATGTGACTACAGTAGTACAGTCGCACCGGCACGCAATTTTTGATGTTCGCGTGAGTTGGGGACAGCGGTGTTTGCTCATAAGTCGCAATCGTTTTCGGTGTGGCGATCAGCACTGCCGACTGAATAGTCCATCTTTTTGATAGGACCAAGTCACCCCCCCCCCCCCCCCCCCCCCCCCCCCCCCCCCCCCCCCCCCCCCCCCCCCCCCCCCCCCCCCC